AGCTCCAGTTATTAACTCCGGTATTTACAAAGCTGTCATCTCCACATTTGGAGAAAGTTACAAGCCGTTTGACAGCAGCAAATCTGCATATTTCACAGAAGTCTCGTTTAGTGGTTTTGCAAATAATTAACCACTCTGTTTTTGTACCATTCTGCATTGAAGTACCTTTCTCTTTGCCCAAATAAGCTTTTATTTGCCCGTCTCAATGTCCCGACAACAAACCTCCAAGCAGTCGGAACCAGCCTGTTTGAATGGTGTGACAATGTCCTATTTGATTGGATTACAATGTACATATTGTCTGCCTGCTTTATTTTACCTAATGCAAAGTGACCTGCTCCATCGAAATCAGTCGCATTGACCCGAAGACATATTTTGAGTTGTATACACTGTTGGAAAGAGGAGATTCATAGCTTTCTAATGATATCAGGATTGTTTTTGTACTCCAAATATTAAGCAAAATACGTCACATTATATAATGACTGTCACCGAGTCATCATTTTGAGAAAAAGGCCTTTAAAGTTTCCTCTTCTCTGGAATCCATCGATCTGATTGATTATTAGCGGAGCAAATGATAGATCCTGCAGTTAGATCCAGGAGGATGAGGAGAGATGGAGATCCGGTGTCAGCTGTCATCAGCAGGTCGTTGGTCACCCTGACTAAGGCAGTTTCTGTACTGTGGCCCTGGCGGAAACCAGACTGGAATTTTTCAAAGAGTTTATTGAGTTTGAGATGTTCCTGAATCTGAATGGCAATTACTTTCTCCAGCACCTTTCATAGAAATGGCAGGTTGGAGATGGGTCTGTAATTAGCAAGGACTTCAGGGTCTAAGGTGGGTTTTTTGAGGAGTGGTTTGATGACGGCAGCTTTTAATGGGGATAGAACATGACCAGACTGAATGGAGTGGTTTATCACTGAAGTGATCAGGGGACTTATGGCACCAACGTTAGATTTGACCAGGGCTGTGGGAAAGGGGTCCAGGGCACAGGTGGAGGGTTTCATCTTTTTGATGATGGCCTCAACTTCATGCTGCGAGATGTCAGTGAAGCAGGGGGTTGATGGTCAGGACTGGCAGAGCAGCGGAGAGGAGAGAGCGGATGTGTGGGAAAAAATAACGACTGGTGTTTTCTGCTATATCTTGACATAAATGAGATAAAATATGATTAAAAGAAAATGTAAACTAATATAAGATAACTAAAAAAAAATATGACCTTTAATGCTGTGAAGAATCTTCATTTTATACAAAAATGTGTTTCTTTATTTGAGAGTAATATTGCTTTCTAAAAATGTGTTTTGTTTCCAATTAGTTATGTAGAAAATAATTGTGTATATTATTCCCACGCCCCTCTGCTGCTCTAGCCCATCTGCTTCAAGGTTCTACGTGTTGTGCGTTCAGAGAAAGTCTTCTACATACCTTGGTTGTAACGAGTGGTTATTTGAGTTACTGTTGCCTTTCTATCATCTTGAACCAATCTGGCCATTCTCCTCTGACCTCTGGCATCAACAAGGCCTTTTCTCCCAAAACTGCAACACTGGATATTTTCTCGATTTCCGACCATTCTCTGTAAACCCTAGATGGTTTTGCTTGAAAATCCCAGTAGATCAGCAGTTTCTGAAATACTCAGTCCGGCCACTAACAACCATGCCACGTTCAAAGTCACTTAAATCACCTTTATCCCCCGTTCTGATGCTCTGTTTGAACTTCACCGGGTCGTCTTGACCATGTCTACATGCCTAAATGCATTGAGTTGCTGACATGTGATTGGCTGTTAAGATATTTGTGTTAATGAACAGGTGTACCTAATAAAGTGGCCAGTGAGTGCATATAGTATAGTTCTATCAAACACAATTGCAGTATCATACCTCAAAATATATTTTCAGTAGCGAATTGTAACCAAAATGTACGTAAAGCTATTTTACTGTAAATCATCTTTACAGTAAAGGTACTGGTAACAGGTAATTTGGAATATATAATGTAAAGTCTAACAGGGTGATTCAAATTATGTCAAAACAAAAATATTCAAGAAGCCACTTTTGTGCATTGAGTACCGTTTTAATTTGTATACTTTGAGTACATTTTCATGATTCTAATAACAACATGTTATTTATGTAATCCTTTCAATGCAGGGCTTTTACTTATTTAATGTGGTATTTTGACAGTGTTTTATCTCATCCAAAGAGAACAGATGTATTGTCAGGTTTAGCCTCGGGGTTGTTCTATTGTTGTGCTGCGCCGGCCTTCCTAACTATATGCAAACACATCATTTGAATGTTATATCTGATAACTGTTAGCACCAAACATGCGTGACAGCAGTCTGCTCATTCACATGCCATTATTTATCTAACTAGAGCTGTACTCAAAAAACAGAAAAGAACAATAAAGTAACTATTATTTTTTCTTATAATTTCTATATTTCAATCTTTAATATTAAGCCATGCCAGTAATGACTACTGACTTTGGGGAACCCCTGATTTTTACTGTAGTGCCACCATTGGGTTTGAATTTGAGGTTCAGACTGAAGCAAAAGCATGTACAGTAGAGGGACAATAGAGTGACTATTCATGTTTACTTCCATTTCATTATCTTTAATATTTAGTTATGCCAGTTATGTGGCTCTAGTGATGGAAAAGTCGGTTTGGTCCATTACTTTTGTCAAGACTGAAATATCTCACCAACTATCGAATGGATTGGATTGACATTTGGTACAGACATTCATGATCCCCAGAGGATGTATCCTAATGACTTTGGTGAACCTCTAACCTTTACTGTAGTGCCACCATTGGGTTTACATTGGTGGTTTAGACTGACAAATCAAACAGTATTTAAATTGCCTCAACATTCACAACAGATATCCAGGGTCCCAAGAGGATGCATTCAAGAAGTTAAATGAAGCTCAGCACAAGTTCAACCAGGAATCACACACCCTTGGTTCCACATCTCTTTGGACTTTGTCACTGGTCTACCACCCTCACACAGTCATACTCACCGTCATAGATCGGTTTTCCAAGTCTGCCCTGCTTATTCCATTAACCAAATTACCTACTGCCAAGGAAACTGCTGAAATCATGTCACAACATGTGTTCAGGCTGCATGGCCTCCCCAGTGACGTGGTCTCTGATCGGGGGCCACAATTTACTTACAAAAACATACAAAGCTGACTCGTGAAATGTGAACGAGGTATGCACTTTCACTGCTTATTGTCAGCGTGTTAGCCCAAGCACAGCCTCACTCAGCTGCTAGAAGAAGTATTTCTATAACTAAAACAGTTTTTATCAGATCCGTTGCAGCCCCTTTTTTAGAGATTTGGGTATGGAGGAAAATAGAGAGGGTTGTGTTTTCTGACACTTGGTAAGTTCCCTGGAACACCAGGGACACATATTCATGTATAAAAGACGTACAAAAGTGCATTTTGCATGATAGGTCCACTTTAAGGATTTGGAGAGGATCTTCAGAGAGGAGTGGACCAAAATCCTTCCTGAGATGTTCACAAACCTGGAGACCAACTACAAGAAGCGTCTGACCTCTGTCTGTCCAACAAGGGTTTCTCCACCAAGTACTAAGGCGTAGGCTCCACGAGGACGAAAACGGGTTGAATCCGCATATTTCTCATGCGTATAGCCCTTTAAGATCGACGACGCCGTAAGGGAAACGTAGAAACAGACCCTGCAAACAACAACGGGTCCAAAGGTGGATAGATCTGGGAACGGAGCGCTCTGGGGGGTCCAACGGGGCCGTGGGGTCGCCTATACGGTCATGCGTTTCATAGCCCCACCTCTCCCCGCCTCTCCCCACCTCTGCTGCTCACCTCCGCAAAAGTACACTGCACACTGAATTCAGATTATTTATCTTTATCTCGATATGAACATAAACGCGAGTGAAGTCTAATCTGACAGGACGGAGACACGCAGCTCCTCCGGCTGTGAAGCAGCGAGAGCAAAACACACTTCAAGTCAGATCACCACCCTTAGCTATTTTAATTACCTCTCAAACTACCTAAACTAGTTATAAATATGTTTATTTTTACTGTCGGGTTTACTTACTGGATCAGCTGCTGCATGAGGAAGCATGAAGATTTAAACCGTAACACACGTTGACCGGCGAAAAAAACTCTGCCCGGTTCCGTCGGCCCCCACCGCGGAGAATAAACAGAAGTGCAGCCATGACAACCATTCTTCTTCGCTGCTTTTGTGGAGGAAGTTGCTGCTTTTGTGGAGGAAGTTACAGCGCCACGTACAGGTTCGGCATATGTACTGCAGCTTTTCCAGCGGTTGGATGTAAACGGAGCCGTCTCATGGAGCTTGACACAATCCGGTGTATATTGCGTGTGGTCGGAAGGTTTTTTGCGGTTGCGTTTGCGTTACTCCGATGCGTTATAAGATCCTGGATGACAAGACGCTTTTTTTAAATATAGGTAATGTTTTTTAGACTATAAAGTGATTTTTGAAAAGTGAGGTTTCGAAATATAAAGCTTTTTGAATTGTAAAGCAGCTCTAAACATTCTGAATGTGTCTCAGTTCATTTTGGTTGGCAGTAAGCGCCATCAGAGGGTGAACATGTACTTAAGCCTTTGCCTTGAAAGTAAAATCCTTTTGAGCAGCTAAAACAAAGCGTTTGAAACAGGTATCCAGACACAAAGAAAATAAAGTTTGTGTAACATTAAAGCATGTATAAATGTTTTACTAGAATACCCAAAGAATGAAGCTGGAAGTTAGTGCAATAATTCTTACAATGGTTTTGTGATCTTTTAAATGTATTAGCTTGTAAACTGTAAAAGTGTCTCATTATATGAAATGATCAGTGTTGTTTCAGACTTTTTGTATTTTTTTTGTTTATGGGCATGAATTTGGTTTTCCTGCTGCATCACCAGTCCTACGCCCATATTACTCTATTGGTCTTTCCTTGTAAATGCATGTGCAAATGTATCTAAATAAGCCTGATGTAAAAAAGGTATCAGTTCCATATCCACTTTGCATTTTCCTATGTATAATGTCAACAGCTGCACATCTACAGTCTCATTCCAAAAGAGAGGAACAGGGAAGAGACAAGGATGGAAAAGGTTCTTCTGATCATCATCGCTCTTTCAGGTAATTATTATATGTATTTAAAATATGTTATCCCATTAGCAATGTTTAGTACTTTGTATTATGGTTTCCCTCTGACAATTACTTAAGTTTTTTAACTTACAGTTTAACTGTAATGTAATTTGGAGAACTTGGTTCAGTAATTGATATTGAATCTAATCAAAATGTCTGTGTCTCTACAGGGCTGAGCGCTGTCTCCTCACATGCGGAACGTCAGTACCATTTTGTTTCTGAAGCAAAGACCATGTCTGAAGCACAGAGATACTGCAGAGAGAATCACACAGACCTGGCCACTGTAGACAGCATGGAGGTTGTGGAGCTCCTGAACAACATGGCAGGCCAATACAACCAAGTGAGGTCACTTTTCTCTGTCTTTAGATTCAAATGAATTACATTTCTTTTAGAGTCAAATTGAAAAAGGAGAGATTATTACAGAAAGCTAAACCTGTTTTAAAGTCCTATGGGAACCTGAGTATTAAAACAGAGTTGAAAATGTTTTAAGCCAAAGCTATAGCATAAAACCCTGTAATAAAGTTGAAGAGGCTCAGAGTAACAAGGCTGTAAATGAATGTTGACTTGAGGGGATTCCCATCAGATCACCATGTACCAAGGCTGCTCTCATAAAGGCAAACCTTCTCTTTATTAAACATACACATTTTCTTAAGCAGCAGCTTTAAAAGCTTCAACAGGATGTAATAATTATAACAATTTCTTGCTTTCAGTCAGCCTGGATAGGGCTGTACGATGACCGGGACACCTGGAGGTGGTCGATCTCAGACCCAAGCTTCTACGGACCGGGGGAGAAGGAGTTCAGACCATGGAGGGATAATCAACCACAGAACAGGCACCATGAACAATGCACATATTTTAATTATGGTGGAATGTGGGGTGATTATGAGTGTAATTACCCCCTCTGGTCGTTCTGCTTTGATGTCAAAGGTAAGAATATACATTTAAAATCATATTTTAAGCTTCTGAAATACAATGCATTGGTCTTTATCTAACTAGCGCTTCCCAACCTTTTTTCTTCATGACTTTTACAACAACCTGTGTTTCCTTGTCATGATTCAGATGTCTATGATTTGTTAGCATTTCTACTAAAGACATTTCCCTTTTAACAACAATTCTCACATGGTTTCATTTAAAAGATAACGTAAAAGGAAATGATATACATACACAATGTTTTGCAAACTTGTTTTAGAATTGTAGTTACGTTTTACATCTTATACATCTGAGCTAAACAGAATAAGAACAATATAGAATCAATATAATTTGAATGAAGCTTTAACCTGTAACAGAGTATCTTCACATCGTTGTACTCCTGCTTTTACTAAAAGATCTGAATATTCCACCACTGGTACTACTAAAGTTTCTTGCCAACATTCATGTGTTGAAAAACCCCAGAACTATAAATTACAAAGTACACCTTTGTGGGATTTAAATGTAATATTTTATATTATAAAGGCATCAATACCACCAGAGATGTGGCATTGATGTCAGGCTGTATGTCGTGGTGCCTCTACTCAGCTTCTCTGGGGTCCATTTTCAGGGCCGAATGCAACATTTGTCCTCATCAAGAGAGCAATGAACTGGACTGATGCCCAGAGCTACTGCAGAGAACACCACACAGACCTGGCCAGTGTGAGAAACCAGGCGGAGAACCAGCAGATTGATGAGCTGGTATCTGAAGGGGATTATTGGATCGGCCTTTACAGAGACTCCTGGAAGTGGTCCGATGGAAGCAACTCCTCCTTCAAGTACTGGAAAGTAAATGAACCTAACTACGTAGGTCTCAAAGCTTGTGTGGCTGCAGCTTTCAACAACTCTGGAAAATGGGAGGACTTGGACTGTGGAGTGGAGAAACCATTCATTTGCTACGGACGTGAGTAAAATTCACAGCTACGTCAAAGCAAGTGATGATATTGAGTCTGTTGAAAAAGAAGACACCATAAATGTTGTGACTGATGAAGTTTGTTTGTGTTTTTAGCTGTGCCTGTTTCAATGCAAGTGAGATTGAAGGTGCAGAAACCAGACGGTGTGGATCTGAACGACCAAGCTTTTCTGGATGCGATGTTGGTGGAGGTAAATCATGTTTTCTACTTTTATGCAAAATCATCACCAGAAAGGAAATTCACATGACATGAGAACAAGAGACAAAAGAGGTAGGAAACAAATAAATAACTATTAAAGAATAATGAATTCAACGAAAGAAAATGTAGTAAATGAATTTCAATACGAATGAAATGGACCAAGATGAACATGAATGAAATTCTATATCCATTAAACATTCAATACTTTGGCCACAAATAACAGGACCCAAGCATTTAGTAAGAAGACGTGTAAATATGTGCAGAAGTAAATAGCAGAAACTTAGCCACATGCCACCAAATGCATTAGGAAAATGGACGAATACTATTCCATAACCTGAGGTAAGCCTTTACACTGGAAGAAATAAGGGGAACAACTACCATTTCAGATGAGTGAACTAAAGATAAATCATCTGTTTTTATTAGAACGATAATGAAAATGAGTTTTTGTGTCTCAGGCGAAAAAGAACCTAAGGGCCCAGGGATTGGACGACGACGTCCAACTGGCCTGGAGGAAGCAGCCGGATGGACAAGTCTTCCACGAGGAGGAGGAGAAGAGGGATGAGCTCTAAAGCTGAATTGCTGTGTGTGATTTTTATCAGAGAAAAGTGTATTTCTTTCCTCAAAGTCCTCGTGCGACAGAATTCAGCTGCAACAATGATCTGAATAATCTATTAGTTACGATCATTTTGATAGAAGATAGAGAATGTAATGCTTTTCCTTGTTATATATGGTTATGAATTTAATATGTTTAGGGTTTTTACTAATTAATGTATTTGCTTGGCCGGTGGGAGATAATAATAAAATGTTTGACTTTTGTTGAATTTTGATCAAGATTAAATTACCAATAAAAAAAATGACCTTTAATGAAATTTCATACAAAAATCTGTTTCTTTATTTGCATCTTAATTATTGTTTTTTTGTCTCATAATATCTTCAAATGAGTTATGTTGAAAACAGAAACAGGCCGTGCATTTCACACCTAGGCCTTCAGTAGTGTCTACCTGAATGAACCCACCTCCTAATAGCATTATTATGACGTCACGGCTATGGAAACCATTAATATGATACATTAACGCAGTATAACAGGGCGCTGCATCACAGACAGGTTTCTAATGTAGCGAGAATGAATGCCATTACTAAAGCAAGAACACCAAACAACACAATTCAACAAGCCTCCTTTCACTGCTGCGCCGCACATCATCTCTAGCAGAAGCAACAAAATGTACTTAATAAAATGACAAGAAAATATCAACAATGTTAAATAAAAGTCATTATAGCCATTACTCACCAATACGTTTGATTATTTGTTCCCAAAAACCATCCTCCTTTCTTTCTGAAGAGTTCAGTTACTGTGTTGTTCAGATTACCTGAGTGTTTCAGTTCCAATAATAAGTCCTGTTCTAACGCCATGGAGGCTGATGCTGGAAGTCGAGTCAGTTCAGTCGTATTTCTGTCAAAACACATTGTGGAATATAGGAATGAACAGAGTCCTGCTTCTGACACTGCTCAGTTCTCTTTATACATGAACCTTCCTAAGAACAGTTCCACCTCAGCCACATCCATCATGGTGCACTTTGTAATGGAGGGTATGTCCTCTTGTTGGGTGACATTTAGAAGAGCTTTGGTGAGAGATGCAGGATATATGCAAGATCCTGGATCACAAGACGCTTTTTTTTTTTTTTGAAATATAGGTAATGCCTTTTAGACTATAAAGTGATTTTTGAAAAGTGAGGTTTTGAAATATGAAGCTTTTTTAATTGTAAAGCAGCTCTAAACATTCTGAATGTGTCTCAGTTCATTTGGTTTGCAGTAAACACCATCAGAGGGTGAACATGGACTTAAGCCTTTGCCTTGAGAGTAAAATCCTTTTCAGCAGCTAAAACAAAGCGTTTGAAACAGGTATCCAGACACAAAGAAAATAAAGTTTGTGTAACATTAAAGCATGTACAAATGTTTTACTGGAATACCCAAAGTATGAAGCTGGACGTTAGTGCAATAATTCTTACAACGGTTTTGTGATCTGTTAAATATAGTAAATGCCATAATAAACTATGGAAGGAACATGGGGAAGGTCAAAAACTACAACAGGTCAGCGTCATCCTAGGGGAGAAAACATGTACATATATCTATTTATATCCATCTTTCTGTTTGAGTGATAATAATATAATGACGATGAGTTTTTTGTCTCAGAGGAAAAAGAACCCAAGCGATCAGGGATTGGACGACATTGGAATATATAATGGAAAGTCTAACAGGGTGATTCAAATTATATAGAAACAAAAATATTCAAGAAGCCACTTTTGTGCATTGAGTACCCTTTTAATTTGTATACTTTGAGTACATTTTCATGATTCTAATAACAACATTTTATTTATGTAATCCTTTCAATGCAGGGCTTTTACTTATTTAATGTGGTATTTTGACAGAGTTTTATCTCATCTAAAGAGAACAGATGTATTGTCAGGTTTAGCCTCAGGGTTGTTCTATTGTTGTGCTGCTCCGGCCTTCCTAACTATATGCAAACACATCATTTGAATGTTATATCTGATAACTGTTAGCACCAAACATGCGTGACAGCAGTCTGCTCATTCACATGCCATTATTTATCTAACTAGAGCTGTACTCAAAAAACATAAAGAACAATAAAGTTACTATTATTTTTTCCTAAAACAAAGCGTTTGAAACAGGTATTCAGACACAAAGAAAAATAAAGTTTGTGTAACATTAAAGCATGTACAAATGTTTTACTAGAATACCCAAAGTATAAAGCTGGAAGTTAGTGCAATAATTCTTACAATGGTTTTGTGATCTTTTAAATGTATTAGCTTGTAAACTGTAAACATTTCTCATTATATGAAATGATCAGTGTTGTGGTGCCTCTACCCAGCTTCTCTGTGGTCCATTTTCAGGGCC